GACATACCGGAAGAGAAAGAGAAAGAGAGCGAGTTAAAGAGAAAGCAATTCACTGCCATTACAATATTATATTATTGCAAGAACGGGAGCTAACTTCGACACGCTCTCGAAAATTTAAATTTGATCATAAATACTTTATGCAATATAATTTATATAAAATAGAATATATATAAATATTACTGAAATCTGGTATCCTAGTGCTGTTTATCTGCAGCTTAACGAGCCTCCTCCAAGTATCCTCAATAAGAGTATACAAACTTTTCTGTTGAGTTTTCTGTTGTTCTTTTTTTTTGGCGTTTCCTTTTCAAACTTTCCACTGTGTGCGTGTAATGCGAGGAAAACTCATGGAAAGCCTCATGGGTGTGTGTGGGAATGAGGTCATATTTTGGAGCTGGCATCGTTATTTCGAGTGTGTTTGTCTCCTGTCTCCTTGGTCCTTGCTCCATGCTCCACTCTCTCTCTCTCTTCTTGTCGCGCCGCAATTTCGACAGCGAAACAAATGTAAAGCAGGCCGAGCAATAAAGCAGCGAGACATAAGGAGATGGAGCAGCCGAGGACTGCAGAGAAAGCACTGAGAGAAAAACAACTTGAGTTTATTAAATAAAGCTTAGAGCTATCTCTTTTATAATAAAATGTTTTCATAACTGCTTAAGGCTGATCTGAATTCAACAACTCTAAAATTCTGTATATGATTTCTTGCCCTACTTTTTTCTCCTAGTGTACGTAAGTGGCAGATACTTTTTGCGGTCAGGACACGAGGTGACGCGGAGCACTGGTCCTGGTAGGAGTTTCTTTTATTTTTTTTAAGAGGAAGCCACGCAAAAACATAACCACAAAGAAAAAATGAGAAAAAAACGTTAGAAGAAAGAGCCGAGTCAGCAGAATCTGCTCTATCTCTCTCTCCCTCTCTTGCCGTTTCTCTTGCTCTTCCCCAAATCCAGGCCCTCGTCCTTGCACCATTCCCATGTTGGTTGAAAGGATTTAACGCCTCGTTGAATGGCAAGCAAGTTAATTCACATTTTTTCGCTTTACCAATTTTTTATTGAGCTTCCTTCATCATCGTCTGCCGTGTGGCCTTCAGAGGTTCGATTGGTGAGTCCTGGATGCCGGGAGGAATCACGAACTGGGAAATTCTGCCCGTTTTCCCTCCAAAGGCAAATATTTCGCGGTCCAGGGATCAGGGAATTCGATTTGTAAGTGCTTCGCGGGAAGTACTTTGAAAATTAAGCAGTTTCCCTGTTTGAATTTTTGACATATCCTTGTCTTGTCAGAGATTATCCTTTCTTATCTTATGAACTTTGCCTGAACCTATTTAGGTTTATTTTTATTTCGATTTAATTCTCCATCGCTTCCAGTCAGACTTCTTTTCAGAATTCTTCAATTATATTTAATATTTGGAAAATTAACACTTAATTTGACAACAGAATAAAAATGGGAAAACCCAACGATGGAAAAAACCTGAGGGAGGAATGGGGAAGTAAGCCTCGAGGGTCAAAGCAATTTCCAAGCCTTATTTTTGTGGGTGTGGCCAACGGTTAATGACTTCCATGGTCGAGTGCTCCTCCTCAATTCTGGAATCTCACCGAGATTGGCCACTGCTCTTGATCTTGGTCGTGGTGGTGGTTGTGGTCGTGGGCCGTCTTAATTGGTGCGGAAATTATTAATTGCGAGTATCGTTCGTGGCGCCACAGAAATCGAAAGCTTTGCAATTAAATCAGCAGCAGCAACAGCTGCAATTGTCTGTGGTCCTCGTGATGGACCCCCTAGTTTGCCTAGTTTTCCGGGCCAACTGCAGGGCCACATTCTTCACAGCGGTTTGTGGCCATCCATTTGCGGCTGACCGTTTCTTTGTGTTTTCAAATTCGAATTAAATAATTTACTTCAGCTGGGAGTTCATCTCAAAAGGGCCTTAAACCAAATTCAAGTTTTATAATTTCTCAGAAATTCCTAGGAGTTTTTTGGGCAAGAACATACAATACAAGATTAAATAAATATTTTAAAATACTACATATAAAGTATCACATCGGACTTCATTATGCAATGAAATGTTTTCTTTTTCCGGAAGACTTTTAAAAATATATCTGCTATTTAGCGAAGTAATTTACGGCCCATGGCCCCCGAAACTTTGCTTGGCAAAATAATAAGGAAAAGGAAAATGTATGTAATTCACCCAGAATCTGTCGACATTAACGGACTCTTGTTCATGTTGCAGTTGGGTTTTGTTCGGGGAAAAGTTCTTAATTGCAAAATGCAATGCCAGAGCCCGGGATCCCCTTTGGGGAGCTCCTTGCTCCTACTTCTGCTCCTGGCCCTGCTCCTGCAGCGGACGTCTCATTTTGGCAACTTGGCTGTAATTTGGGCATAATTATGACAAAGCCAACAGCTGGCGGCGGTGCAGCCACGCCTCTTTTTCCCGTTTTCCGGTCCTGCACTTTATTCCCACTCTTATGCAATTTATAGTTCGTTCCGAGGGCGGAAAAAGTTTCCTTTTTGCCCATTTAAGAACTTTAATTACTCGGCAGACAGCGGGAGAAAGGAGCAACAGGGCAACAGGGTGGCAGACTCAAGGAAAAAGTCGAAATAAACTAAAAAGAGTAAGGGAAGAGCCGAAAAGTAGAGAAGGAAATCTGCCTTTGCCATTGATAAAATTGCATGCCATTTCCGGTCAGTAAACTTTCAATGCAAAAACTTTTTCTTTGTTTATTCTGTGTCCCTGTCTCTGTGTGTGTGTGTATTGCCAAAGTAAATTTCCAATCGAGCCAAGTTATGCAAGTTATTGTGCAAGCTACCTAGTAGGACTTACCTGGTTTTTGGGAAGAGTCTTGCCGAATAACTCACCTAAGCAGGTGCGTTTCATCAATAAAATTTTAAAAATAAAGGATAATGTTAATGGAAAATTAGGAAAAACTTTGCGTATTTTGAAAACATACTATAAACTTTTACATATTCCTTACTTAAGAAATATTTAACAAGCTAGTTCTTCGCGTTCCTTGTAAATGTTTTGAACAAGGTTTCCTTTATTAAATAAATACCATTTTACAGAATTTCTGCCCACAAATTAACTGCTTTAAAATATTATTATCTCTAGCAAATCTATTATAAATTCAATTAAATGGCCTTATATTACCGAAACGCTCTGTACCATCTGTTACCCATTTAAGTCTCTGTTGCAATCCGCTCGATGAATACATCGTTGGGTTAAGCTGCGCCCAAGTGGGCCTTTAGTTTCAAGTTTTAAACTGCAAGTTGTAAGTTATTTTGAAGTGCGTGCACAACTTGAATAACTCAATTAGTGCGCCATTGTTACATGTTGTTTGGGCCACGGGTATGGCCGCTGCATCGGCGCTTTTCTCTTCTCCTAATTGCAGCAATTGTTGCCGGCTCTGTGCATTGACTCAGAGCGCGATTTTCACGCTTCTGTGACTGGGCCAAGCCCCAAAATCGAAAGTGAAAAAGGAAAACGCCGAGGAAAAGTGAAATGGAAAAGCCGTTTGCTTCGGAAGATAGCAGAGAAAATTAATTGAAGCCAAATTGCAGTACCTGGCAGTTGCATTTAGCTCGGAAGGTCTACTTGATTTCAGGCTTTAAGTGCAGATTGAAAGCGAAATTCCCTAAAAAATGATTCAGAAATGATTTCCGATTTCATTTAGTTCAAAAAAGACCTATATGACCATTTTTCCTTCACACCATAGCTTAAAAAAAATCTGACTAAGCCAAAAATGCATTAATTTCGATACGGAAGTCAGTCCTGTGCTAGGTTTTAATAGTTTAATAAATCTACATACTCAAATAGATATTTAAACAATTTAAAATTTTTGACGATTCGCCTGTTGATGCTGATCAAGAATATAGGTATATGGTTTATAGGGTCGGAAGTGACTCCTTCACTTTGTTTCATGCTTCTGATTGATATTATAACATCATTCTTTGAGTTGATATTTATCGATATATTTATTTGACATTTTTTCCAACAAATTGAATTTTAAAAAATGTATAACTTAGCCAAAAATGAGTTAATTTCAATTCGGAAAGCTGTTCTGTGCTAGTTTTAATGAGGTTAACAAATCTACATACTGAGTTTTTTGTTTTATTAATTTAAATTTTTCTCAAATTTCGACATTTTGACAAAGACAATTTTTAACGATAAAATAATGAAAAAAAAGTCAAATTTTTTTTCCTTTGGACATGTCTAGATCGATTCGGCTGTTCATGCTGATCAAGAATATATATGATTTATAGGGTCGGAAACGACTCCTTCTCTTTATTTCATGCTTCAGACTGAAATTACTGCAAACAGTATAAATAAGCTAATCATAGAAATTAAAAAAGGAGAAACCATGGAGAAACCTGTCAAACAAATCCTTTAATAAATGAGATTCTTGTTAATTGGAAAAAAGTAAGGCCCATTTTATTAGCTCTTCTTTTTGTACTAATTATTGTTAAATTATTCCTGGTTAATAAGTTAAACTCCAGAGTTTGGTTGATAATAGCTTCTAAATAAAACCCCCCTGTTTTCCCAGGCACCTTTATACCTTGTTCATTAATTTCTTGTATTTCCCCGTGCTGTGCTGTGTGTGTGTGTGCTCAATGTGAATTTGTTTGGCTTTTGAGCCGCTTTCAGGCCGCTTTGCCCAGCTGTGCGTGGCTCTTTACTCGGCGTGGTCGCTCGGCCGCACCTACTTTTGGTGGCCTGCTAATGTGTCGCTAATTAGCCGCGCTGTGGAAATGCGTGGGGGTCTCTCTGGTCACAAAAAATGAACCTCAATATTTGACTGCATTGCGGACATTTGTCAAAGTCTAGCAGCTCTTTTGCAGGATGAGTAGGGTGAGAGGTTTAAAAACTCTGAAAGGGAGTCGGTTTCACATTTACTCCTTCCGATTCCGCTCCAAGAGAGAAAGAGAACCCAAAGGGTTCACAGTAAAAAATCTAAATTCATCTAGGATTTTAATATTAATTAATATATAACTAATCATATTTGCATTTGTAATTGTTTCTAAAGGTTACAATTCCATTGAAATGGTCAACAAGGACGCGGACCAGGGTGAGGCAACGGAGCGGCTGTCCTGCAAGCTGAAAGGCTACGACTTCTACCGCTCGACGCTGGGATCCCCGCGCTATGTGGTGGCACCCATGGTGGACCAGAGTGAGCTGGCCTGGCGGATGCTGTGCCGCCGATACGGAGCCCAGCTCTGCTACTCGCCCATGTTCCATGCCAACCTGTTCGCCACGGATCCCAAGTACCGGAAGGATGCCCTGCAGACATGTGCCGCCGACAGGCCTTTGATCATTCAGTTCTGTGGCAACGATGCCGAGCAGATCCTGGAGGCGGCGCTGGCGGCACAGGATCACTGCGATGCGGTGGACATTAATCTGGGCTGTCCCCAGGCCATTGCCAAGAGAGGTCACTACGGTTCCTTTCTGCAGGACGAGTGGGAGCTGCTGACGGAGATTGGTGAGTGGAAACGCGGCAGGGAATTCATATATACATATTTATTAACAGCGACCTTTTTGGTTTTCAGTGAAAACATTGCACGCCAAGCTCTCCATACCCGTGACCTGCAAGATCCGCATCTTCGAGGACCGCGACAAGACGATCCGCTATGCCAAGATGCTGGAGGCGGCCGGCTGTCAGCTCCTCACGGTCCACGGTCGTACAAGGGAGCAGAAGGGACCACTGACTGGTGTGGCGGACTGGAGTTACATAAGGGACGTGCGGCAGCATATCAAGATCCCCATGTTTGCCAACGGCAACATCCTGAACCTGGAGGACGTGCACCGTTGCCTGGAGGCAACGGGCGTCGACGGCGTAATGAGCGCCGAGGGGAATCTGCACAATCCGGCTATTTTCCAGGGAATCGCCCCGCCAGTCTGGCAGATGGCGAAGGAGTACTTGGAGCTGGTGGAACTCTATCCCTGCCCCAGCTCCTATATTCGGGGACATCTCTTTAAGCTCTTCCACCACCTGTAAGGTTATCGAAATCCAGACAATGTGACTTGTTTAAAGCCTCTCTTCTCTTCCAGTATGAACATCAGCCAGAACTCGGAGCTGCGGGAGACCCTGGCCACTGCCAATCAGCTGAAGCAATTCCAAACTGTCGTGGAAGCGGTGAAAGCGAAGTACGAGCCCTATCAAAGAGGCGAAATACCCTACGAGCCCGAAGCTATGGATGTCAACATCAGCGCGGGATCCGACGAAGATGTAAGCCAGTTATCCCTACTAATTGGGTTGGGTGTAGAGGCAGGTTACCGTAGTTATTAGATAGATTGTTATCAAGATCCTAGATCTGGCTCATAACTGCCTAGCTCTTTCCACTGTCTTATGCCCACGCCTGTTTAAAATCATATAATCTTAAAACAACTAAAACAAATCTTATGTACAAACCTTACGCAGCGTCTGCGCTTGGAGCCGTGGCTGTGCCAGCCCTATATCCGTGCCTCACCCGAATCCCATCGCCAGAAGATTGCCGAAAAGGAGCGCGCCGCCGAGGACCCCAATCGGACCAAGCGGCAGTTCTTCGACAAGGATGGCAACGAGATATCCCGCAAGCGGATGAAGAAGCTGCGTAGACGCCAGCGCAGACCCAACAAAACGGAGACCCAGATCCAACTGCGCCACGAGCGACGCCTGGAATATTGCACGGAATGCGCCAATCCCCAGGGATCCAAGTGCGAGTTCCAGTTGTGCCGCGTCTGCTGCAAGGACCGATGCTACAGCACCAATTGCGACTGTCCCGGCCACGGAATACTGATAAAGTCCCGGCGAGCCAAAGCCAAGCAGTTCGAGGAGCATTCCGCACAGCCAGCACCACCCACAGCCGTTGCGCAAGACCCACTTTGACCCTAACCTTTCACATTGACGCCTCTTATTTGTGTTCCCATTAAATAAGCAGAAAAAACAGTTTAAACTAGCAGTTTAAGTAGGAAAGTAAGGTATCAAAGTATCGGTTTCAGTTTGTAAATTTGAATTGTGCGGGTAATTTAAATTGTTTTGAATTGTGTGACCAGGCTACAGCAGGCAGCAGGCTACAGTGTGACCTGCACGATGGCGCTGCCAACTTATTGAAGGAGTTACCGGATCTCTTAAATATAATAGCGCCCGGACAGCATTTCTCCACTCTGCAGCTCTGGTCACTCTTAACACCAGTTGCACGCTGGCTGCTCGGAATAAAATCAAAACAAACTGGAAATGGAGCAAACAAAGCCGTTTTACGACTTTTGCATACCGTTCAACAAGGACGACAAAGTGATGCGAGCCCTGCTCAGCGAGCTGGTGGAGTGTGGGTAGCTGGCGGTGCCGCCAAGCAAGTATTAATCGCTAATTCGATGGAAATCTTTGCAGTGGGCTACAAGACCATAGCCATCGACCAGAGTTTCGATCACAGCCGCAAGGAGGCCGGCAAGAGGGGCTCCGAGATGTTCCCCGAGCCGCACAAGGTCGAGCATCTGCGCAAGGAGTTCGGAGACAAGCTGCGGATACTGCAGAGAATTACCATTCTCTACGTGGATGTCAATGTGTCGCACGCGATGGTAAGTCGGGCTCTCTAACTCCTAGCTCTTACGACTTCCATAGTTTTTTCCTACTTATTGCTGTTTGACTCTTTGCAGAGTGTCTCCCTGAATCTGCGCAAGTTCAATCTGATTGCTGGCCAGCCCAAGACAGATGCAGCCTTAACCGTAAGTCCGTTACGCACTCTTTCCGTGCAAATCCCCAACTAATCTATGCATCCAGCACTGTTGCACCAACTTCAACGGTGATCTGGTTACCTTCGATCCTGCGGCCGGATCACGGCTAATGGTCAATCGGAAGGCCTACCAGGTGGCAGTGCGCCGTGGCATGTTCTTCGAGATCAAGTACGGGCCCGCCATTGCCGATTCGAACAACAGGAAGGACATGATCAAGGTTGCCCACAATTATGGCATCAAGGGAAAGTCCCGAAACATCATCTTCAGCAGTGGAGCAGCGCACCAGTTCCAGTTGCGGGGACCCTACGATGTGGCCAATCTGTGAGTGAACGAAACAGTCACTAGGGTCACTGTGTGGGTTAAAATACTTTCATTACATGTCTTGTCTTAGCGCCTTCATATTCGGCCTGTCGGAGGATCAAGGCAAGAAAGCTGTGGACCGGCACTGCCGACAGCTCTTCCTGAGGGCTGAGTCGCGACGTTTGGGCAAGACCATCATGTTCGTGAAAGGCGGCGGACCCATTGTCTTCTCGGATAGCTCGGAAGATGACCAAAGTGATTCGCTGGAAGACGAAATGGAAGGGTGTCTGAAGGAGGAAGAGTTGGATGAAGAGGATGATGAAGATAATGGAGATAATAACGAGGAAACAGAAAATAAGCCGGCAAATAAAAGACTGAAAATCGCGTAGCTCAAGAGAAAATGAAAAGAACAATTTTTGTTTTTAAATTAAGTATTTATATATCGATAGTTTTGGGACATATCGTTGGGACATTCAAGGCTTTATTTAGCCACTTTCTCCACCGTGGTTTATGTCTGGATTGCACTGCTTTGTCATAAATAGGAAATAACGTAATGTAGAGTCGATGGTGCTTGGCAGAGATTTCCACGGTGTTTGTTTAGTTGACACTTGCAGATTACTTTAAAAATAAATACATTGTTGTTCGCTGGGTTAAAAACAATTACCTTATTATTTACTACGTAAATGGCTACTTTTTGAAGGCTTACGTAGTTGTATACGTTCTTTTTAATTGTAGTGTGACCAAATGCAGGTGAAGAGAAAATCCCTGTTTTTTCCGGCCGAATTTGTGATAATTAACGGGGAAACTGGCGGGCACACTGCACAACAACAAAACAAAATGGAGGTGTTGGAAAAAAATTGTCGTTGAAAAAAGTGCTGGTCTAGAATTTTGCGTTAAACGGTAATAAAAAGTGCAAATCAATTGCAAAAAGTTGCGAAAAAACGCTTGCTAGGTTGCCGGCAACTGAAGCGAGAAGAAAGCATATCAAAATTGAGCGTATTTTAAGCCAAAAATGGCTTTTCATAAACGGCCCCGGAGCCGAGACACTTGAAAAGAAAAATGTGCAAAGAAGAAGAGAGCAAAGGAGAGAGAGAGAGAGAGCGAGAGAAGAGAGAGCGCCGAAGACAAGCGACGAGACGAGACGAGAAAAACGGCAAAGCAAAAGAAATATGTATTTCGCGAGGCGACGAAGAAATGCTGCAAAAGCAAGCAGCAGCCAATGTCCAATTTTCAATTGTTTTTCCCTTCCGCCAACTGCCAAGTGCATTTCTCCCGTGGCGTGCATGTGTCCGTGTGTGTGTATGTGAATAATTAATGGCGAAATTGGCGAAGAACATCGAAAATCAAATGCAAAAGTGTGGAGCGTTCGGTCTAATATATGTAATTAAAAATGGACCTCATCGGCGAGTATATGAGAGAGTGCGTACAAGTGTGTGTGTGTGAGCGATGCTCATTATGATGTTTGTTTGATTGTAATCATCGCGCTGATTATTGCCAGCTCTTTTTTTCTGTACGTTTCGCAGTTGATTTCTTTTCTTCTGCTTCTGCTCGCCATTTTCTTTATAAACTCCCCGTAAATCGCAAAACCAACAAATTGTTCGTTTGTGTTTCACTTTACTTCATTTTTTTTTCGCGTATCGCGCTTCGCATAAATTTTGTGTATGTATTGGTGCCCCGCTGCTGCAGTGTTGCCAACATTATTCGGGAGATGCAACCGCAGCAGCAGCGGCGTCGCACATTTTGCACCTGTGCAGAGGAGACAATCTGCGTTGCCCCCCGTTGCGTCCTCATACTCCTCCTCCGCCTCCATTCACACCCCCGCATTTGTCCATTTGCCGTAATGGCCAATGGCTACAGTTACTCTGCCGGCGTCGTTGTTGCCGATCTGCTTCTTTGCGTTTGCCTCTCGCTGCCTCTATTCATATTTTGTTATTGTTGCAACGGAACGGGAACGAGAGAAATCGAAGTGTAATTTGTGTGCTAAAATTGAATGCAATTAAATTTGTTCTCAGGTCCGAAGTGTACTAAATTTCACGCCAGGAGTTAATTTAATTGCTAGTAACTGTTAAACGGAAGATTTTATAGAAGTGTTTAAGTTCGACTTGATCTCGCAAGTGAAAAATCGGAAAGCCCGAATGGTAATGCAGTTTATTTTAATTTGAAGTAAATCGAATTAAAGCTTGCGGTGGCTCTTAAAGTTAAATGCTGACCTCTTTTGTACACTTAAATGGGGCCACTCTTTAAAGTTAAACCTCTTTTTTTAACAGCAGTGAAACTTTTGGGCCTTGAACTTACCGCAGTTTAATTTAAAGGATACTGTTGTTATTCCTTGCATTAATATAATTTTATTTGTAATTTAACTTGAAGCTACTCTCAATTGAAATATTATTTTTGTTGTGACTTTTAAGATGTTTTTTGGTAGATTAATATTTGTATGTAAATGTGTGTAAATTCATTTTCGGTTTGTAAAGTGCAGCTTAATATTTCGTTGCTGCCATTTCGTATAATTGGTGCCACTTGGCCAAGCTCCACTGTGGTGGTGTCTTCTCAGTGCCCCCGTGTGCTCCATCGATATATCGATATCGACACTCACATAGATACAGTGCACAACATATGCAACGGTATCCCTCTTTGATTGCTTTTGCTTTGCCTCAGCCCCGCTGTGTCAACTCATCTGTCTGCCTTCCTCTGCCCCATTCCATCTCCACTCTAGTCGCACGCTGCCTCACTCGCACTCATGCACACTGGCAGAGCGGCATTGCATGGACACACGTTTTTCTAGCCGGGCGACACTCTCCCACTACCTCTCTTCCGCTACTCTTTGCGCTCGCTCTCAACACACAATTGATGGGAGAGCGTAAAATTCATGCGCTTGTCGTTGCTCTCGATGTCGCGTCGCGTCGTCTGTTGTGCGTCTCTGCTTCTTCTTTAGCCACTCGGCGGCTGTAACAATTTTTTTCTTCTGCTTTTCTGTTCATCTGCTGCCTTTTTTTCTTGCTTCACTCCTGCAATTACAAAGAAGAAGAAGCAGCAGCAGAGATTTCCACTGACTTCCAGCAATATCTATCGATTTCTTTGTTTCTTTTCGGCTGCAAAAAAAATAAACTACGTGCGCGTATATCATGTTTAATTGTAATTATGGTACATTAGTGTGAGTGTGAGAGAGAGGCGGCGGCGTTGGCCAAGAAGAAGAAGCAACAGCCTCGCCAATTGCAATTGCAATCGTTGCTCTTTTGTAGTTCTTTTTCTTTGGCCATTTGCTTCCTCTTCTCTCCAGAGCTGTTTCTTCGTCTTGTCTTCTTCTCAGTTGCTAGCTGTGGCAATTGTGCTACAATTATTATTTCGCATGTGTGTATCTACACTTGAATTAGCATTGTTGTTGCCGTTTGTTTGTCATTCTCGCCATCATCTGTCATTCTCCTGCGAATCGCGCTTCGCCTAACTATCGATAACTTGCGTCCGTCGAAATGATTGCGTGACCGAAAAGAAAAATAAAACACAAAAACAAATCGGTAACAAAAACAGAAACCCGAAAACGGTAAAAACTAGTACAAATTTAATTGTAAATTGTGAGAACCGGCGAGCATTAACCAAGATAAAGTCAAATATGGATTAGCCGAAAGCAGAAACTACGATAATAACAAAGAAACATGGTGAGTAATAAAATTGCAATTCGATTTTAGTAAGCATTAAATTTAAAAGAGAAATGTGAAAATCCGAGCGATTTACAACAATTGAAAGGCAGAAAATGCTTTTTAGAAATAATTATGTATCTTTAACCGAAAGCAGATACACACGTACACAAACACACACGTACAGCGAGACAGAGACGAGACACGCACACTGACGGACAAACGAATTGAGCGAAAAGCCTCACAAACACAAGCACACGCAAACGCCAAACGAAATAATTTCAATCAACTCTTTTGGTGGAAGAAGCAGCGAAAAAACGTCACACGCCTGCCTGTTCGTTTTCTCCCTCCTTCTCTTCTTCCTCTGGGCAGTAAACTCCAAGCTCTCGCCATCTCCTTTCCTCCCCCACTCGTTAATATGCGAATAAAGCTAAAGTTAAGGCGAGTGGGCAGCTCCACTCATTGCTTACAGTTTTTTTTTTTTTTTGTTCTTGTCGTTATTGTTGGAGTGCGGCGAAAAAATTTAAGTAATAAAAGGGAAAGAAAAAACCGTACGTATGACGTGCAAATGAGAACGGCAGTAACAACAACAGCGGACAGAAAACTTAAGTAAGTTACAGTGGAATTAAACCTACAATAAATATGTATGCCCATTCGATAATGATAAGAACTTTATGAAAACAAACGAATTTTGTCTTCTGTTTTAATTGAACCAAATTAAGAGTCATATTTAAAAATATAAAATTGTTTTAGTACTCCAATTTATTTGTATTATTGTTTTTCAAAAAATAATAAACAATTTTCAACAAGTTTGAGATTATTTGTGCCTAAACATCAAGTACACGCAAACCACTGTAGTTAAAACGAAAAGAGCGACAACTGCTGGGAGAGAGTGGTGGAGAAAGAAGTGGAGAGAAGCTGATGACGGGCGATTGCGAACGAGAACCGAACGATGGAGCAGAGGGAACTCTGACCAGAGACCAGCAGCGACGCGACCGTAATACATATCATCCATCCCAAAAAACCGAATCAAAACCGACCAAACAACACGGGACAAGAACAACAACAGCAAGCAAGGCAAACATATGAACGACGACGACCCCAACTCTCACACACAAACACAGGAGCGAGCTCGCTTACACTTACACACACATAGGCAGGCAGGCAGGCAGGCAAACAAACTCAGATACAGACAAATAAAAGGCAAAAGCCAAAGGCGCGCACTACGATATGCGAATGCGAATAAAATAGCAGCAACAACTATGCGGCGAATTTGCACGAATCATGCGAATCTCCAATACACAAGCCTAAGCACACATACACCTACATGTATACAAGCACTCGTCGGCTTTTACTACATGCCATGCATAATACGTGTCTCGTACTTGTCGCCGTAATGTTGTTGGTGTCGCCGCCATTCGCCTTTCCTCTTTTCTTCATTTCATTTCGCTTTACTTTGCTTTGCTTTGTTTCGCGATTTTTCCCGTATCCGTTCGCCGCTGCGAAACTCTCAATCTTTCACTTTTGATGGGCGACCACCCAACCAACAACTACAACTAACATCACAAACACTATCCAACCTGGAACGAAAATACATGCATCTAAAACACACTTCTCAGCCAAAAGCGCTATCTAATATAAGTAACCTTTTAACCTTTTTTGTTTACTCTTTTAAAAAAACTCTAAAACTTAGATTTGAACATTTCTGTTAAAATTGCATTTGTTAATCTGTTTTATTTTCGTTTACTGTGCTGTGCGTTTTCTTATATATTTTAAACCGTAATTTTTTTTTAAATATTTTTACATCTTTTTTTTTTATTTTTTGTTGCCTTTTTTAAATTCATTCGCATTTTTTGTTTTGATTGGCTCATCGCCGTCTCTGTTGCCCACTCTCTTTCTATACGAAACAGTCGCTCTGTCGCTTTTGTCTGTCTCTCCGTCGTATTTCCCTCTGTTCTGTCTTCCTTGGCTTCTGCTCCGTCCGCCTAACATGGTGACTGCGCCGCTAGCAGCGCTGCCGCTAAAGGCCGGCACATGTCCCCCCCATTCGTCCCCTTCGCCCTTGTCTGTCGCAGCACGTGATATAGTCGCTGTGCTTTTGTAATTTTACTTTGGCCTGCTCTTTAGCGCACGCTATGCTTTGCTCTCGACTCTTCGTTGTTTTTGTTTTTTATAATTTTTTTTCTGTGTGTGTTTGTCGGTTCAACATTTTGCTTTTATACGCTCGTTTCACTTGTTGGGCTGTTTTTTTCTTTCTCTCTCTCACTC